TGCGTTCCGCCCGGCCTGCGCAGGGCCCGGCGGGGCGATGTAGGGGACATGCCCTGACGGGACGGCGAGCGGACGGGCGCCGCCTGCGACCGGGAGCTGCGCCAGCGGGGGTCGCGCGCCGCGGATCGGCCGCGAGCCGGCGAGGCCACCCCCCCCACCCCGGGCACCGCCGCTATGGCTGGGCCCGGCCTCTGGACGAGCATCAAGTCCCTGCTGCGGAGGAGCGAGGACCCCTTGTTCCTGAACGACTCCAGTGCCTTTGACTTCTCGGACGAGGTGGGGGACGAGGACTTCCCCCGGTTTAACAAGCTGCGCGTGGTGGTGTCGGACGACGCCTCGGAGGCGGCCCCGGAGACGCCGGTGAACGGGACGCCCCTGGGCCTGCCCTCCGACGACGAGTCCCTGCTGGACCGGGACATCGCCCTGCGCAGCGCCCGGGCCGGCCGGCCGGACCCCTGCAGCAGCTGCAGCAGCCGGCGGGAGCGCTCCAAGCAGAGGAAGGTGAAGAAGCGGCTGACGCTCGCTGCCCTCCTCTACCTCCTCTTCATGACGGGGGAGCTCATAGGTGAGTGGGGGGCTTCTTGTGCCGTCTCTCCGGCCCGCGTGCCTCTCAGCCTCTTACGCTGCTCCGGCCTTGGTTTTAAACGCTTACTAAGAGAAACTATCTGTCACGTAGAGAGGTCGGGGAGATTAGCTGCAAGTTCAGAGAGCGAGAAGGAGCAAAGTCCACCTGTATTTTCCACGCAAGAAAAGAAAGAGGAACTTGCAACTTCCCTTACCTGAACCTCATCAGTCCCCCCAAATGGCATAAAACACGCTTTTTTTTTTTTGGTATGTCTAATGGCTTTTTATTTCTCCTTGTAAGTTCCTCTTGTAAGTTTGTAAGGTGTTTTTAGCAAGGGAGAAGCTGCGTTTTATTACAGACATAAATAAAAGACGAACAATTTCATCCTCGGTATTTTTTAATTACTGCCATAATATCTTGCTGTGTTTGCAACAAGAGAAGAGGAGGGAAATAGAGTTTCTAAGTGTGACATTTACCGTAATAACAAAACTAATATTGGGCGGGTATTCGTCCTTATTCACCAGGTACAGCAATATACTCTGTTACTTACAACTGAAAAGACAAATCCTGAGCTATCAGTAACAAGCCAGTGAAGAAGCCACTCCCTTGACAACTTCCTGATGTCCTGCTGTGCGCTGGACTAGCATATGCTCTGTCCAGACATAAATCATATGACCAAAGTCAATTAAAATAATAGGTATTGTAACACTTCCCATTACAGTGCATACGAACACTAACTTGTTTGATTAAATTCTTTATCTTTTTTGTTTGTTAGTATTTGCAGAAGGTTTTTACCTGGGAATTTGTTCCTATATAAGTGTCTGATTGTTGTTGGTCACAAGAACGAATCTGGTGCTCAAGTTCAGCTTTTATTGCTCCCTCATAAAGGCATGCTGTCATTTGCTATTCAGGTTGAAGAGAACCTGTGCATTATACAGCAGTCCACAAAAGGACTGTGCTTTATTTAATAGGCTATAGCAGCATAGGCTTGAAATAAAATTAAATTTGAAGGTCCCTTGGATGCGCAGGTGAGCTATTAAACATTATACCTTTGCCATTATCTAATCATTTTTACAAAGGATAGTATTTATCTTTTAATCTCTGTTCATTTATCAGTATAAGTGTCCTGTTACCATCTGTCTTCTGGGTACATCCATGCCATTCAGTGCAAGTGTCTGCTTGGTGCTACTCAGCATCCTGAAGAACGCTTAAAGTCTCTCATCCGCTTTCCCCTGAAGTAGTGGAGTGCATTACACAGTGCCAGTACATTGATGTGCATGTTGAGCCAGGTCTCTAGCAACTATAACAATTAATGGCTTTTAAATTGCTTTCATTTTAACACACAAGTCTAAATCAGAGCTAATCAGACAAATTATTGGCTGTAATTCACCAGGAAGAAAAAAAAAAAGGAGAAATCAAGTCACAAAAACTTTCTGGAAGAACAGAGATGCCTCAGGTATAGTAACATGGGACCTACATCCTCCTCCTCACCTATGCAAATTTGGTCAGTAATGACTGAAGATCTGATGTTTGCTGGTGTGAAGTGAGCTCATGCTCTTGGATCACCTGTCCTAGGACAGTTGTGAATTATATCTTTAAGACAGAAACTTCTGCAAGATGGATAGGGAGCAAAATCATTGCCCGAGTATAAATAATACATTTTGTCCCACATATGTAGAAAAAAAATCCCTAGGAGAAATGGTCCGTTTTTCAGAGAGAGACCAGAACACTGACTGTATCTGCACTAGTTTTATTTGTGGCCTTATTTCAGGAACACCGGTTAATGGAAAAAAGTGGTTTTGTCCTTCAGCATCTCTCAGTGTGTGATTAGTCATTAATAACACTGCTACAATACATCAGCTTATCATGGATAAGGCACTTCACATCAAACCTGTTGCAGGGATCTGGTTGAATGCCTCCATCTGCCCCTTGGCTCCATTTTTTGTCTCTGGCTGAGATTTTGGTTCAGCATGAACTGGGGTAAATTTGATAAGCAACATAGTGTTGTATCTCAGACATAGACATCCTTTAACATGACAGTGATTTTATTTGATTGTATTCATATCAGAGTTCTAATATATGCTGAACTGAGTTCGTCTGAAGGGGCCCTTGCTGAATAATATGTCTGAGCTGTTGGCAGCTTGATGCTGAAGTCACTAAGAGTGTATCTGTTAGGGGCTTTGGATCCGATCCATGCTATTGTAGACCTCTCCATAGCTAGTGCAGGGAGAGCTCTAGAAATAATAGGTGTTGAGAGTAAAAATACTCCCTCATCACTGTCACATCATCTGTTGTTTCTCCCTTACAGCCAGGACTTCTGCAGGCTCAGCTCAGGGTTGCGGATTTGTCTGTGCAAAGCATTAGTACTGTAGTGTGGGCTCATCCTCCTCGGGTTTATGTATGCTGTTACCAGCCCTATTTCATTATCTGGGCAGACAGCACTAAGGGCCAGACCTATAAAATATTCAGGCATACAGCCTCCACAGAGAATAAATAGAGGACTTGGGTATGTCTGTACTTTTGTGGATCTTGACCTGAATGGCTTGTCATAGGGCAAGTAATCAGCAGCAGAACAAGTAATTAAAGATGGAGCCCTCAAGTCCTGAGTCAGTGCCCTACCTGTTTAATTTATTTAACTCCAGCCCTGTGTTCTGTCTGGTTGGTTTTAAATTTTGGAACTCTTTGAATTAATCTGTAGCTCAGGTATTTGGGAAACTTTGTTTGATCACATAGGACATTTTAACTGACTTCTTTTTATGATCTTTGACAGATTTGAGTTTCTGAAAAAAAGGCAATCAGACAATTGATTTGTTCAGTAAAAATCTTTCTGCGGTCTGTTACCGATGTCAAGATGAAGGAAATCTTGTTTCAGCACCTTTTTTATGAAATCTTGATTGGCCTATTTTTTTCCAAAGTATAGCCAAGCTCATTACCCCAGCCCACCTCAGTGTTTGTTACTTAATTTGATGAACAGTCATTGTAAAAGTCAGGTAGCAACTTACACTTTGTGGGAACCATTTAGCATCAAAAAATGAAAAACATATTGCAAGTCCTAGTTAGCTTTTCTGACAGGATTTTGATGTTTTCAGCTATGTTTAGAGATTTCTAATTGATCGTCCACGAGGAGGACTGCTGTCCTTCACGGGTCACTGAAAACAGTGGTGAGCCATCAAGCTGTCTATTTGTAAAGGTTATAGATGTCTTTTTTTTCCAAGTTGCCAGTCATGTTTAAACAGCCCTTAGGCAGTACCTTTAACCAAGCAATGAACTGATACGTTTGGAAACAGAGCGCCTTTGATTTCAGAATTTCATAAATCTCAATTATGTTTTCTTAATCCACATGCTGCATTATGATTAGCTTCAGTACCTGAATTCCTTCTTTATCATTTTATTTTTAAAATCTTCAAGTGAGAGGCTAGCTGAAATAGAATTGACTCATCTTGCACTGAAGTGATTCTCAAAATTAATACATGTGAATTAACACAGATACTTTAAATGATCATACATGTAAACTACTAAATTAAACGTCCTTAGAAATAAATTACTGTTTCTTCTACGTTGACTATAAAAGAGGCTGAATTGCACATTTCTAAGTCATATTTTTTAAAATCATGTGAGAACACAAATTAATTCAGAAAGGAAAGGCATAACGCATTTTACTTGAAAAGCTGCTGAATTGCTAAATCTTAAAAACTCATTATTTTTGAGCTGTGATGGCCTTTGGAAAACTGCAGCCTCAGAAGAATGTGACTTGGAAACTTTGGAACAACTGAAGAAAGGGGGATGGAGGAAAGGAACTGGTTCAAATGTGGTGTATTTGGTAGTTACCCACAGTACAAGCAATACTAGAGTATCAGCCACGCTGTCTGCAGGTGTGTACACATACAAACACCCACAGCCACCCACCCACACATGTTTTATAACTAGTCTTGAAAGCAATCAGCCAGTTGTGAATTTCCTGTTGCTATTACCTCATGGTCAGCCTCTTCACTAAGACAGTTTTAATTGTATATGAAGATACCTTTACTCAGAATGTTAGTTGGAGCCTCAAACCTGCCAAATGGCACGCCAGCTGCATGCTTGTGCTCAGTAGAATTTACAGGCTGAATGACAATCTCAAGGTAAAAAGAGAAACTAAATCACAGCTGAGCTGACGCTAAAGATGTGATCTTTCTGAGAAAACAGGCTTACCTTCATGCATATGGAAGACAACCAGCCTGTCCTTGATTCCCCTTTGGATAAGGGATGTTTAAGAGACAGGCGCGTTGTTTAAATCTCACCCATCCCATAGTAGTATTAGCAATTGAATTGGAACAGAGATATTAACCTTTGATCTGAGGTTATTTATCTCAATGCAGCTCATAATTATGAGAAAAAATTATGGTAATAAATAACAAAGGAAAACGCTGTGCAAGTGAAAGTCATTGTCTGCAATATATATTGGCAGAACTTATACACCCTTGCCAGGACAGGGAATAATGAAGGTTAAAAGATAATGTAATGAGAATAAAAAGGGGGCAGGGTAAATTTCCTTGCCATTGAGTAATTGGATTTCTGTCCCTGTTCCATAATGTCAAAATATTTAACAGACATAGCTTAATAAAAGAATCAGCTGATTAAGCACATATGCAATAATATATAGAGAAAAGATACAAAAGTATTTGGGGCCTGATCTTGCAAATGTTATGATGCAAGTAGTCTCTGTGAGAATAACAGGAGTGAATACTTTCTATGTTACTCTTAATAGAACATTTCACTGCACTTGTAACTATGGTAGCTTTAAATTATAGCACGGCATTTTGATTGTAATGGCAGAAAACCCCATTTAGTGATTGTAAGAAAGGCTCTCATGCACTTAATGCTCTGTTCTGGAAAAAAAACCCACCCCCCTCCCCCCCCAAACTGTAAGCTATGCCAAGAGGATATTATCTAGAATCATTAATGTAATGTGTCCTGACTTTTCCAACTTTGTTTTCAGGTGGATATGTTGCTAACAGTCTAGCAATTATGACAGATGCACTTCATATGTTAACTGACCTTAGCGGTATTATTTTGACCCTGCTTGCTCTCTGGCTGTCTGCAAAATCTCCCACAAAGAGGTTCACTTTTGGATTTCATCGTTTAGGTATGTAGATACCAGCTTTTGCTATTAACAGAGTATTTTAAGCAACAATTGTAAAGGTCACCTAATTCTAGAAGAATAGGTAACTAGAAAGAAAGTAGCAACAAACCTAAAAGTTGCTTTATGGTTAACACCCTGACTCTAATGTCCTTTTCACTGGCCATTGTGGATCCACTACATAGGTTGTATTGCCACAAGGGAATAGATAATAAAAAAATAAATTTTTAAATGTTAAACCTCAGCCAAAAGTGAAGTTTGATGGCAGCATTTTACTCACTGGGAGCAGGATGAGTCTCTCCATCTCCGTGGAACTAGGACTTAGCAGATTCAGAGTTAAATTCTGAATGCTTGATCCATCTTCCATCTTAAAGAAGAAGGTTAGGGAACTGGATGCATGATGACATTGTAAATATGACTTCCTACATATGACCGATGGCCTAAGAAGTTTAAAAAGGGTTCAGAGGAGGGAAGCTGTCCCCAGCAAGAACAAGGGTGGATATGCAGCTGTGTTTCACAGCCCATCCATAGTTACTGGGCTGTTGCATTAGGCCAGGCCCCTGTGCACCTTTGTGCTTTGGAATTGAGGCTGTTGAGCAGAAGAGGGGCACATTCTTTGGTCACTCACTGCTGTACCACTGTTACTGCTTGTGTGACACACTGAGGAGCTTGTTGGTGCAGGAGCTGTACATGTCAGTCAGTTATTGTTCACAACAGATTATTGCCAGTGCCTAGGATTTATGAAGTCCCATTGACTTCAGCAGAATTATGACACTGGAAAAAGGTCCTATTCAATGTGAAAAATGACATCTTAATCCAGAACTAAAAATTTCTGTAGAGCATATTATCAGAGAGCTCTGCCCTGCCAGAAGCCACATAAATCAGTATTCCTCTTGCACTCCCCAAACCACACAAAGCAGAGGTCAAAATGTCCCATGGTTTGCAATACAGTAAGTTACTTGACCTCTGCTCATTTTAGGTGTCTGTAAAAAGAAATAGAATTATGTATTAAACCTTGAAAGGGTATTTTCAGGATTCATTACTTCATATTTGGAAACATAATGATGATAAAGGGTGTCTTCATGTGGTTGCTAACTGGATATAGTAATTCATAATGTACAGCTTCAGGTCTTGTAGACATTTTACCAAAAGCTTCAACATTTACTCTTCATGAAATATATAATTTCTAGTGTCAGAGTTTGCTACCTCTGCTCTATACATTCTATAGTGTATCTTTTTCAAGGAATTTCAAAGTCTTGTGTAGTCATTATTTGCAATTCTTATTTTGGCTGCTAGAACAGCAGTAGAATTCAACAACTCCATCACTTCTAGTCATTTGTCATCGGTTAGTCACTAATGCATGAATGCATAACTCTATACACTAGCAAAGACCTTTGGGGCTTTAGCAAGAAAGCATTAACAATGCCAGCATTTCCCATTACAAACTTTTCTTTCAAGAAGTTTTAATTTTGCGATAGGAGCTCCCCTCATACTGAAACCTGACCTTGCAGATATGCCCCTCGCATTTGCTCATGCTCCCCAGAAGGATGTTTGCTAGCATTTATACATATTTTAACCCTATTTAAAAATCATTTGAGTACTTTATGTGTCTTTGTAACTTTTCTAAAACCAAATAGTATATATATTGAACATGCCATGGCCTAGCTTAAAAGAGGAGTTAATCTTAAGAAAAATAGAAGAAACTTACTTAACCATTAAAATCTTACTCAGTTCTGTAATTTTTCACTGACTTTTCAATTAATTTGAGGACTTCATAGCACTTTGCAAGCACAAATCCCTGAGGATTCCTGCCACCTCACTTTTTTTTTTTTTTTTTTTTGCATTTACTGCAAATGAAAATACTGCCCAGACTGATCAAGTGGTGGCCCATGGGTCAGATCTGGCCCATAGAATTAGTCTGTATCACCCACCATCTTCTCCCTGGGCACCATCTTCTCCCTGGGAGAAGCTACAGGGAGCAGCTTCTCAGTTCTGCAACAATTACTCCTTCTTTTCTGCTGCCCAGTGCCAGTAGGTAGTCAAACACTAGAATGGGTTGCGCAGTTGGAAATACTCAAAGCCCAACTGGACACAGCCTTGAGCAACCTGCTATAGTTAACCTTGCTTTGAGCTGGACTACACAGTTTCCAGAGGTTCCTTTCTACGTCAACCATTCTGCATGAGTAGCAGCAGTGCAGCTTTCTCAGTAGGAGGACTAGAGCCTGGGGGTGGGGGGAAGAGTTTTCTGTGGCTGCAGTGAGGAAGGGGAAGCAGGTAAAGGCCCTGCAAGAGACCCCCAAACCTTGACCTAGGCTCTGCAAGTACAGAAGATGGGATGGTTCAAAATTACTATACACAGATTTTCTAAAGTCACATTTGTGAAATTTATTTGCCTGATTTTAGGCACCCAGTCTGGATGCTGTGGCCCAAGGGCCCAGTTTCACACATCAGTGAATGTTGGCAATGGAACAAAGCTGCTTCTAGGGTATATCCTCACTGTAACATGTTTTTCCAAATAACCTATATGTAAGAAGCTTGTCAGCAAATAATATAAGCTCAACAATAGCTTGAATTTCATGAGAGAGATGTTAAAACATGACAGAATGTTAAAGATAGGGTACAGATTGAGCATCTGTCACAGAAAAAATGGGGAGCATTTGTTTAAAACTGGGAATACACGCAAGAACTGTCTCATCACTGACCTGCTTTTCATTAAGTTTTGAGATAATATAAGCATGAAAACATTCTAATGAACAATGTTTCTGGTGCTCATTGCAACTTTTGTTGGCAGAACGATGACTTTTCAAACTCATTCCCATAAACGCTGCATTGTAAAGACAACAGACCCATTAGTTGTCTAGTCAAATTCCAGAAGGAAATTAGCACTAGTTTTCATTTATTTGAATTCTCTTTGAATACATAATATGTGTGCTCCATCTTCAGTTTTATTCCATTTTCAGTGGTGAAAAGAAAGCTGACAGATTCAGGAATCGGTTAGAAAAGTGAAGACAAAATAATGGAGATTGCAGTCATGTCTAAGAAGGATTATATTCTTGAAGCCAAAAATAGTTCTGTTTCACCACCAAGTGGAGATACCTCCTTCTCAGCAAGACGCTGAGCAGATTTAAGCATAGATATGGAACTTGGCATTTTTCCATTGCTGCGGAGACAATGTTAGTAATGACAGAATCAGTCAGTCCACTGAGACAGTACACAGTTCATTTCACAGGAAGTGAAAGATCTCAGCACAAATCTACAATTCTGACATGACAATGACTCTGAAAGAAACTGCAAGGAAAATGCTAGTTTCCGTTGCAGAAAATACATTTTTAGATTGTAAAACCAAAATATGTTATTTCTTTGGTAAATGCTAATGTGCTATGGCTTCACAAATTTTTTAAAAAGCATTCTGGAAAATCTTCTAAGCAATGTACTGGGTTTTTTAAAGGCTCTTGCCCTGAATAATCTGCCTGCTTTGTAAAGAACGCTACCACTTGCATGGATATTTCCAGGATTTTCATGTTGCTCTGCAATCATCTGAGATTGTGACAGTTGCCTTTCAGAGCCTTGTTACTGCCTGGTAATGCTGGTACTTGTTCAGGCACTGACACACTACTGAGCAGCTGAATGCGTTGGTGTGAGTTTCTTCTCCCATAATGATGTTAAAAATTCAGTGTATGGATCAAGTGATTTTAGTGATATTAAAATGCTTATATAGCTGCATGCTTTTTACTGTAATATTCAATAAATAAAATTAAGGCAGTTCTGTGTTAGAAATTACACCTTCTGCAGTAACCAAAGTTATACTACATGCTGACAGATTCAAATCAGAGGGAAAAGCAAGGCCATTCTCAGATCAGTATTCTTAGAGCTATGGTAGAGCCAAGAGTGGAATTTTGCCCTTACTGGGGAATAAATCAGGGCAACGTGTGGAACAAGGGGGAAGAACAACCATTACAATTCCAAGTAAACTAATTCCAACTCTGATCTTTGAATTCACACAAGAAGGCTAAGATCCCAGGGGTCCATCTGGCAAGTGACAGTCCAGAGCATTATGAATAATGATTACTGGTTACTCAGGCACGGCTGCAGATTTACATGCAATACAATGGAGCTAGCATTAAGGTTTTCCCAGTGCTTTTTGTAAAGCCCTGTATTAACTTGTTTATAACTGAGACAGTCTTTTAACTGGGCTAGTGTTTTCTCTGTCAAGTATCTTGCCCCCCCCCCCCCCTTTTTTTTTTAAGTTTCAGCTGCAATAGGGCAATCATTTTCACAATATTAATCTAGAGGGTAAAAGTATGTTTATGTTAAAAGGAATCTAGTGACCCATTTGGAAGTACCTATATTCTTTATAGTAGGACCTTAAAACTGTAGTGTGGACTCATCCTCCTCAGGTTTATGTATGCTATTACTAGCCCGATTTCATGACTTGTGTACTGAGGCAGACAGCACTAAGGTCCTGACCTGTAAAATATTCAGGCCTATTTACCTCACATCAGAACAGCAGGAACCTTATAGAGAGCTGTAACCAATTTCCACAGATGTAAATGGCAGTGGAAGGTGCAGGACAATTAAATACTTAGTTTTTATTAACTTTCTAATTTTCTCTTTATTTTGATGTATGTGCCCTTTTGAAAGTCCCAGCTGGTCAGATAAAATTCCTACACCAAAATGTTAGTCGTAACATTCTTACTTTTGTGAAATATGAGTATTTGGTAAACATTAGCTAATGCTAAAACAGCGTATTACAGCAATACAGGAACTTATATTAAGCAATCCTTCATAGCTGAAATCTGCAATGAATAACATGTAGGTACATATATGTCAAGAAGCTTAGGAGTAATATGTCTGACAAGTTTGTACTGTTCAGTTTCTTAATATTTTTATAATTTTTTCTCCATCCTAAATACAAAGGGATATACAAAAGTCCTATCTAAATCCAGCTTAATACTGTGGACACTTGAAATCAAGTTTTCTCTTATTTGTAGGTGGGCTGGTGATGTTTGAGAACACCTATCTTCCTCTCCTGTGAACAGGGCCTTTGTTTGTGACTTGTCAGGCAAAAGTTCTGGGATGCCTGAAGAAGTCACAGTCATCGCCCGTGCAGAAATTTTCAGAGAAAACATAATTTGAGGGATATACTGACAGGGAAGTGTGAAGGAATTGATTAGAACAGACTCCATTTGTTAATCCTATTTTATGAGTTTTATTTACTGCACAACTTGTTAGTTGTGCATAAGGGTTATAACACACATTATATACTTAAAATAATTAAGGCTCTGTCCACATTCTAATTTGGAAATAGAAATAGATCTGAGACTCACTTTTGTAATGTTGTTTCCTTTCTGTTTGCAGAAGTATTGTCAGCCATCATCAGTGTATTGCTGGTCTATATCCTTATGGCATTCCTCTTGTATGAAGCTGTTCAAAGAACTATCCATATGGACTATGAAATAAATGGCGATATCATGCTGATTACAGCAGCGGTTGGTGTTGCAGTTAACTTAATGTAAGATCTTCCTTTCTCTCCATTAACACTTATAAATGTATTTCTGAATAAGCTGGTAATTCATTCATGCCCTGTAACCTTCTGATGGGATGTAATTTTGCTGGACCTCTTAATTTTCATAACTAAGACAAGAAATGATACTGAGTATTACTTTTTCAATTACTTGGTTTAAAACGAAAGAAAAAAAGCAACGAAAAAACCCCACCCACCAAAACTTAAAGCCTGTTTCTTGGAGTGTTTTTCTTCTTTCACTTTCAGAATGGGTTTTTTGCTGAATCAATCTGGCCACCTTCACTCCCACTCCCATTCCCACCCTCACTCTCACGTACCTCAGTCGAACTCTCCTAACACAGCCCACAGCAGTAGCCATGGACACAGCAGCCTTGCCGTGAGAGCAGCATTTGTACATGCCCTTGGGGACCTGGTACAAAGTATTGGTGTGCTCGTAGCTGCATATATCATACGCTTTAAGGTAAGGAATGGCTAGTCTTTGAGGCAGGGTGGAATTTTTTTAATTTCAACTCCAGTGATTAAATTAAAAAGGGACTTGTTTTTTTAAGTTATTAAAAAAAATACTTTGTGATATTCTATTATAAGCTTCATACATTCATGCAAAATAAGCAAAGGCTATCTCTATTATGTATTTTGTAACTATTCAAACAAAAAGAAATATTCATGAAAGTTGTAGCTGGAAGTAACCGCATTTTCTAAGTGAGCTTATTTTCATACATTCTTTAACATTTTGGAACTTCCCTTGCAGCCAGAATACAAGATTGCTGATCCTATATGTACATACGTATTCTCCATACTGGTGGTTTTGACAACAGTTCGAATTCTGTGTGACACAGGAGTTATTATTCTGGAAGGTAAGATCTGTGCACAGTCTGCAGTACTTTACATGTCAAATACCAGTGAGCATTGGCACTTTTTTTGACATCACGATCACCATCTCTAACAATGTGAATTGTGTCTGGAGACTTGTTTATCCTGCTGCTGCTTTAGTCTGTTGGTTCTTGATGGCTCATCTAAGTTGCAGCAGTCTTTAGGTGTCTTTGACCTCTGCCAGAATGACACAAGTCCTAGCTCTGCTCACCCTTTCCCATCAGGAGATGGTAAAGTGAAATGTACAGAACTTTCTTGTGCATCTGCAGTGCCTATCAGCTAAACTGAGTGAACATTTGCCCACACTCAGCTCTACACTTTAATTACTTGTAAAGTTAAAAGTGAATGTGAACACATGTAAAAGGAGGAAGCAAGCTTAGGCCAAATGGCTGGACAGGTAGTTCACGCCTGTACTGTCTTCCCCTTTTCCACAAGTGCTGTTGTATTACTTGTGTGCTTCTACTGTTACCGTAGGGGAATGTACAAGTGAAGAGTGGTGTAAAAAGGAAGAAGAAAAAAAAAGGAAAGAAAAAGCTGAACACAAGCTCAAGAATCTTATCTCATGTGGTGACTTAGAGGGAAAGATGCCAGCAACATTCTTTGCATTATCATAGCTAACATGCCAACTATTACTGCTTGATTTAGTACTTTTACCTTATGAAAGTGAAGATGTTGGGGATGGGAGAAAAATCCTAGGTTTTAACTGCACCTTCCTAGGTGTCTCATGTGAGCTATTACTGACTTTACTTTTATTATGTTATGAGGTTAAATCAAGGACCTCAAAATCTTCAATGTCAGGTGCTTTTGCTGTCATTTAGGGGAAAAAAACCCCAACAAACTCCCCCCCCAAACAACAAAATGGAAGTCCACTGAGAAGGCAAAAATGGTGATATTTGCTTAAGAAACCTCAATTAGCTCCAATGCAATAGCTAAGATTTAGCTGAAGAAAACAGATGAGAAACTAGTGCTGTATCAGATTCCAGATATTTTGACTTGTAGCTCTTTGCAGAGGTATTCTAGTTGTCATAAGAATCTCCGAATTAATGATGTTATTAAAAGTGATGATAGGTGGGCTTTATGTCCTTGGAGTTGTATCAGCTTTCAGTATTAATTTTAACTTAAGTTTCATCATTATACTAGGAATGCTAAATTAAAAACTTAAATTATTATCTAATAAAAGCAATGAGATTCTAGCTTTTAATACAGATTTATAAGGCAGCATGGAAGCCTATCAATAGCATGATGTGAGATATCAAAATTTGAGTCCATGTTTCCTGGGGAGAAGGCGGCTGTAGAAATAACACCTCGCAGTTAGCTAGTTATTTATGAGCTAAATAATTTTTTATGGTCTTCACTAGAAGGAAAATTTTGTTTAATATGAGACAATCCTAAACACTGACCTTTCAAAAGAGATGGTACTGGAACGAACATAATTTTAAAAGACAGTAAGGCATCGGGTTCAGAGAGAAGTCATCCAAAAATTCTGAAGAAATTTGAGAAGCAAGTGGCTGAACTCTTCATAGTACGTATAATCAAACTCCATAAAACTGGAAGATAAGCAGTAAAAAGCTATGATCGAAACAAAACTGTTCAGAAACAGAGTTTATTCAGTATTTTTGTACTAGTTTTTGACCCATGTTGATCATCTAAAATTTTGATTCTGCCCTTTGTACAGCTAAAGGGTGGAGTAGGGAAGCATTAGAGGTGCTGTAGCTGCTGAAAATACTACGTCCAGAAGGACTTTATCAGTGCAATCATTGATTTGCAAAGACGTCGTGCTATAAGACAAAGTCATGTGTTAACCCCTGTAGATGGATTACTATGAGCACTTGAAAATGATACCAGTTACCTGAAGAGAGAAGTTTCAGGAGACAGCAGGATACAGGCCCTAGCATTATTGTTTTTTTAGATTCTGACCTTAAGAGTCTGGTCTAAGCAGTTACTAGGTGTTAGAAGCTGCAGTAAAGTTGTCTACAGAAGTACATTGCTCTAAACGATCTAATGCTGGCTACTGCCAGAGAGCAGATTCTGGACAGGACAAACGACATTTGAGACAACACTGCAATTCCTGTACAACTTCTGTACCCATATTGGACTTAATATGCCAATTTGCATATTCTTCTCTATTGATAACTTGGAAGTTACTAATGACTTCCAACAGCACAAATTATAAACTCTTTTGACACGGAGATCTGTCATGACATTTTAAAGGCCACTGAGAGTTTGCAGAAGACAGAATTAATTTTATCTCATGTTTGGTATTGCAGGAGTTCCAAGGCATTTAAATGTGGATCGCATTAAGGAAGACTTGATGAAAATTGAAGATGTTTATTCTATAGAAGATTTAAATGTTTGGTCTCTCACTGCAGGAAAAACAACTGCCATAGTCCACTTGCAACTAGGTAAGCTGCTGTATAGCATAATTCTAAATCAAATCTAAGTGTAGAACCGTCCCGTCTCGTCCCCGCCCCCCCCCCCCCCCCCCTCCCTCCTTTTTTTTTTACGTTAACCGGGGA